TGGGGGCAGGTGTAGCACTTCCTGCGGTTGCAGGGAAAAGTGCCGGGTGTGGTGGAGCTGGAGGGGAGTGTGGAGCGGACAAGGGAGTCACGGAGAGAGTTGTCCCTCCGGAAAGCAAATAAAGGTGGGGAGGGAAAGATGTCTTTGGTGGTGGGGTCGGATTGCAGATGGCGGAAGTGTCGGAGGATGATGCGTTGGATCCGGAGGTTGGTGGGGTGGTACGTGAGGACGAGGGGGATTCTTTTTTGGTTTTTATTGCGTGGACGGGGTGTGAGGGATGAGGTGCGGGAGATGTGGGAGACACGGTTGAGGGCGTTCTCGACCACCGAGGAGGGGAAGTTACGGTTTGTTGATGGGTCTGTTTTGTTCGAAACCAGCAGTGCAGAAGCTGGAGCCTCAGTCTGGCAAAGATACATGAGCAGAATAGCCGATTTGTACGTTTTATGACCTTATGGACTAACCTGCAATCCCAAAGCTGTAAGCCCCAGTTGTCCCAGGTAGCTGGTATGGAGGCTGGATATATGTCCTGAACAGGGAGTCCCACTCTGTAAAATTGTTATCTCCAAAGAAGTATAACGTCTCTGTTCAAACAGGAAACATCACAACAACAGCTGTCATTGCAGACCTTGATTACCAGACATGCACTTGTCCCCATCTAATCGTATAGTCACCTCAGTGCCTTTAATTTCTCACAGCAACAGCGAGCCCTTTTAAATCATTGCAGCTACTTAACATCAGTAGGGTCATCAAGACTAGGCTGCAGTCCAAAGAATAACTCTACATTGTTGAGAAGTGTCCACTGACCAAACTTGAAAGCAGACTTAAAGAATTCTATCTTGCCACTGACAAGGCTATTGCTTGGCTGTAAATGCATACGCTTGTAAAACAGACAGTGACTCACAAGCGGATTTGAGAAGAATTAGTTTAGTCGACAATATCATTGGTAGAGTGTAGTGAGCTTGAGGTCTACTCCTTTAAGTGTGACACTGGTGAAATACAGGTTAAGTTTCATCATGCCATATCTTCTTGATCTTAGTTTGGTTGTCTTGGGGAGTCCAAATGCCTCCCCACAAAAGTAAGAAATTAGAAAATGGGTCAGCTCAAGCTGCTCGCATTTTCATTCCTAACGATCAGAGCAGAATGGTATTGATGGAGGCAGAAGTACAGGTAACAAACTGATCATGGCCCAATGTGATACAAAATTAAAATATTTTTTCCCATTTACATCTTCATCTAAAATTTATTTATTTAGCAAATGCAAATCCCCACAGACAAGGACAGTTTACTCCTTTACTAAGTTTAAAGTGACCACTTAGTCTGTCAGAGGGAAACTCCTTGGTAATGTGCAGCATTGTGTGTCTCTTCACAAGTGCTAAGGTGTTCTGTACTGAGGCTCTGGCATTTGAGGTTTGCTGCACTGCAGCGTAACCATTGTCACCATGGTAATCCAAAGCTTAATATTTGACAGATGGGGATTGACACAATAAATTTAATAGCTATTCTGGTGATTTCCATTCTTTGATCCAGAGCATGTCAGCTGGTAGATCTTGCTCAGGAAGTTTACACCTGAAATAATTCTAGTTAAAAGTGAGTTTTGAGGTTGGATGTTATGGTATCAGATGTGAACTCTCTTTTTGTGTTGATACACTTAGTACCCCAAGTTTGAACAATAATTCCAGAAAAGGCACAGATGTGTTGTATAAATTTCAAAATCTGACCTCAATGTGCAAGAACCTGTCGTTTGAACATAAAGTTCCAGATTTTGGTCTGTTATTATTCCTTTGTTTGTTGCTCCCTCTTCATCCTTCTTGGTATGTACAAAAGACTGCCTTTGGAATCAATAATGTTTTAATCAGAGTTGCATGATTTTAAAAAAAAACCTCACCACTTCCCAACGAATCCAAAGACTGAGGCTTCATCATGTGTTCAACATATTCTTTAAAAGGAACATCAACTGTAATGAAGAAAAGGTAAACTATTTAATTCTAAAGCATAGCTGGTGCTTTTGCTTGTATTTATAACAATTTTTGTGACAACTGCAAATATTCCCTTGATCTTCTATTTTTTTTTCACACATACAACACTGTTTACATATTGGCTGGAGTGAGCCAAGAAAAGAAAATAGCAGAACATATACTGCATTGCATTGGGTAAATTTTTGTTTACATTAAATTCATAGTGGTTCCTTGATTCACTGTTGACAAAAACACATTTTATGGAGTCCTAATGGACTGATACATTACGGCAGCCAGACAGAAAGCTGAAGCCAAAAAGCAGATAGAACCCAGGAGAAGCAGCAAGAAAAAATTGTTCTTGACAAGGTGTTTTACACATACACATCCAATAAATTCAGTCACAAAACAGTGTATGTTTAGAAGGACCTAATGTGAAAAGCTATTGCAATAAATATCAGTGAGAAAGTCAGGTCATCCAGTGAGACACTGAATGGGAAGAAACAACCAATAATATTCTCAAACCTTGCAGCATCCAAGAAATGTGAAGAGGTCAATTCTTTGCATTTTGTACTGGGAAACTCACGTGTGCTTGGTGGGAAAGGGGAGAAAGAGACTGATGTATCACAGTACAGCTTATGAACAAGGAGGCCTTTGACATCTCAATGAATCCATTTTTTATACGTATCCAATTTGGACCTCAGTACATGGAGCACACGCACAAAATTTGCCCACAACACAAAAACAGATCCTTTGTCAAAGAATTAGGTAAGATATTTGGAAAAAACAATGAAACTATGTACAGTGAATGAAACTGCTGATTGATGTGAATGAATAGACAAAATAAAACAAAACAAATGTTCTTTTTAAAACTGGAGACCGCTGAATTCCTCAAAAGGAAAATTGGATAAAGATTTGAAACAGCAGAAGATACAAGGCTCGAGAGAGAGTGGGACATTGACATTGCTTTAGCAAAGAACTGATGTAAGCACGATGGACTAAAATCTTCTATAGATATAAAAGAAAACAGAGATTAACGAAAAATGCATTGAAGTAGTTCACTAAAGAAACTGTAAATCAGCAAGGTTAGAAAATATAACTAGCCTACAAAGGGATACAGAATGTGTTTACTAAACATACGTGTACCTTTCTGATAGGAGTAAGTGTTTGCTGTGCTCAATCTCACCAGTCGATTTCCAAACTCCTGCAGGAGACTTTGCTTTGAACAGAGAGCCCGGAATTGCTGCAAGATTCAAACACACACAATACCAAGTCGCAGAACAGCTTTCAGAGAGGGTGTGGCACTTCACTGTTCCCTGTTGTGGTATCTGACACTAATAACAACTGTTGGCTGAGTAATGACATCCCCATATTTCGACATCACATGTGCAGAATAATGGATTGGTTTGAAAATGACTAGTAAGACTATAATTTAAAAGATGAGTATAAATTACATCATGAACCACATGACTGAAGAAAGAGTTAAGAGATTAAAACTTGATCACGAGTTTAAATTACAGTCCTGGTATCTAGTCTACAACTATACTTCTACTCAACAGACTACAATTATATGTTTTTATTTGACACAGTAACAGTCAGCAGGTGGCTAGTGTTCTGAGATGGCTTTGACTACATCTTGAGCAAGTCCCAGAAAACAAACTGTAGACCATTTTCTTGGGGAAAAAAAAAGTCTTCAGTGTTTCAGACCAGCCAAACCTGCACTGTCTTCATTGGCAGGAGAGGGAAGGGGGAGTTGTTCTTGTTTCTTCTTGTTCCAGAGATCTCACAGCTTGTCCCAGCCAACATTCATCCTCAGCCAATGCCAACAAGAACAGATTAACTAATATTTGAGGGAACTTCTTGTACATTAAATGACTGCCATGCTCATTACATAACGGATTGTGATGCAAAACTACCTCATTTTGGTGAAGTGCTTTGGTTATTTTTGAGACAGGTGATCTTGGTGTTTTGGGAACATAGGAATTAGGAGCAAGATTAGACCTTTCAGCCTATCAAAACTGTTCTGCCAATCAATAAGATCATAGTTGATCTTGTTGTAGTCTGAACCCTACTTTCCTTCTGTTCCCACAACTGTTGAGTCACTTGTCTAACAAAAATCTAACTCTGCCTTCATTAAATTCAATGATGCATCCTCTACTACTTTCCAGGGAAGACAATTCCACAGAATAACAACTCAGAAATAAATCCTCAAGTCCCTCTTAAAAGAAAGATCTCTTATTCTTAAAATGTTTCCTCTAGTTCTAGTCTCCTTCACAAGAGGGAACATCCTCCCACTGCCATCCTTACAAAACTTTTCAGAATCTTGAGATCATTTCTCATTCTTCAAAATTCCAGTGAGTACACCTAGTCTATCCAACCTTCCCTCATTCCTGGGATGAGAATATTATCCTACAAGTCCAGTGATCTGTTTCTGAACTGCTTCCAGTGCAATTTTCCAAAGCAGTTACTTTTGTCTTTTTTCGCCCTTCCATTCAGTCTGGTTAGCATGGCAGCACTGTGGTCAATGTGTGTCCATTTATTTCAACAAAATCTCCAATTTATGATTAGAGATTCTTCAGGAAGTTGTATAGCATGCTTAACCAGCACCAGCTGAACACACTTGGTTGTACGGATAATTATATTAACTACATTATCAGGGTGACATTTCTACATAAAAATCCCTCAATTGCTGAGGCAAGTAATTTAACAGCAGAAATTCATAACCAGAGACCAAATCATATCAAATTAATTTCATCTTCCAGACCAACATCTGAAAACAAGAGAAGTATTGCTTGAGTAATTTCCAAAAGCCCCCTTCATATGAAAGAATGATGTTCAAATCCAGTAGATAATCAGATTCCCCAAACAGGAGGTTTACAGCCCATATACCTGGCCAAGTGCCAGAAGTACTCTGCAAAACACTGACTGGCTCTCAGTTGGAATGCTGCATTTAAGTCTGTGCATCATTTTTTAGGGAACAGGTCAAGACCTTTGAGAAGGTATGAATGATATTTACTAAAATGGTACCAGAGATAAGGTACTTCAGTTATCTCACGCGAGACACAAACAGCCTGGGTTGTTCTCCTCAGAGCAGAATGGAGAGAAGCAAATTATCAGATGCTGGAACCTGAACTGAAAACAAAAATGCTGGCAATCACAGCAGGTCAGGCAGCATCAGTGGAGAGAAAGCAAGCTAACGTTTTGAATCTAGATGACTCTTCACCTAGACTCGAAACATTAGTTTGCTTTCTCTCCAGAATTATGAGGAGATTTGATAAAGGTGTTCAAAACAATGAATGGTTTTAACAGAGTAAATAAAGAGAAACTGCTTCCAGTGGACAACAGGATTGTAACCACTGGATACAGATTTAAGATTATTAGCAAAGAGATCAGAGGCAACACAAAGAAACTACTTTACCCGTCACATTGTTGAGATCTGGAACCTATTGCCCGAAAGATGATGAAACTTTCAAAACAGAATTGAATAAAAATGTAAAGGGAAAGATTTCACAGGTCCATGAAGAAACAGCAAAGGAGTAGAAATAATTGGTTAGCTCAATTGGTACAATGGGCTGAATGACCTCCTTGCAGTGTATCATGCTATGATTCTAAGTGATAAAACATGTATTCGGTACTAAAACATATTTGCTTTAAACATATAAGCATACATCTAGCAAACATGACATAAATTAGAGTACTTCAAAATGCCACAAACTTGCTTTTCAATGAGTTATGTTTGATCAGAAAAAAGTACATCAAAAGGTCATTCACCTCATTCGTTGTGATTCCTCGGATAATCACTGGCTTAGAATATGCATACCTTTAAAACAAAGAAGGTTGTTTTATTTTAAGGATTAGAACATATGAACATTTTGACTTCATTGGCTGTCAAGTGCAAGTACAAAAACTTGTAAGAACGATGTGCTCATGAATTGGCATTTTTTTTTGAACAACTTCTTTATACTTACCAAAATAGTCTTCTCATCGAAGATCTACCCAGTGAAGGAGCAGAGCCAAGAACAACCATTTTCAAACCAACAGGTCACAAAATTGAAGCACGTGGAACAAGGAAATAAGAAATAGAACCACAAATCACCCATGGACTCCACATGGGCCTTTCAACCATTTCATTTATAAAAACTACTCAGTCCAAATTCTTGTTCCTGTTGGCAGCTTTGAACAGTTTTAAAGCAAACATTCACTATAACGAATTTGGCAAAAATCTTCAAAAGTTAGATCAACGTGCCCTGATTCGCCAGTGACAAATTTGTGGCAAAGTTTTCTGGGGAACTAAATGAAACTTTTTCTTATTCATTTGTGGGATGTGGATGTCGCTGGCTGGCCAGCATTTTTTGCCCATCCCTTGTTGCCCTTGAAAAGGTGATGGTGAGCTGCCTTCTTGAACCGCTGCAGTCCATCTGCTATAGGCTGACCTACAATGCCACTAGGGAGGGAATTCCAGAACTTTGACCCAGCAACAGTGAAGGAACAGCGATATATTTCCAAGTCAGGATGGTGAGTTACTTGCAGGGGAACACCACCACCGCCAAGTTCTCATATGTCTGCTGCCCTTGTCCTTCTAGATGGAGGTGTTCGTGGTTTGGAAGGTGCTGTATGAGGATCTTTGGAGAATTTCTGCAGTGCATCTTGTAGATAATACACACTGCTGCTGAGCATTGGTGGTGGAGGAAGCAGATGCTTGTGGATGTAGTGCCAAGCAAATGAGCTGTTTTGTCCAGAATGGTGCCAAGCTTCTCGAGTGTTATTGGGGCTGCACTCATCCAGGCAAGTGGGGAGTATTCCATCACACTCCTGACTTGTGCCTTGTAGATGGTGGACAGGGCTTTGAGGAGTCAGGAGGTGAGTTACTTGCCTCAGTATCCCTAGCCTCTGACCTGCTCTTGTAGCCACTGTTTATGTGGGGAGTCCAGTTGAGTTTCTGGTCAATGATAACCTACAGGATGTTGATAGTGGGGGATTCAGTGATGGTAAAACCATTGAATGTCAACAGGTGGTGGTTAGATTGTCTCTTATTGGTCATGGTTGTAGCCTAGCATCTGTGTGACGCGAATGTCACTTGTTACTTGCCACTTATCAGCCTAAGCCTGGAAATTGTCCAGATCTTGTTGCATTTGAACACAAATTGCTTCAGTATGTGAGGAGTCACGAATGGTGCTGAACATTGTGTAATCATTGATGAACATCCCCACTTCTCACTTTATGAGACAGGGAAGGTCGTTGACAAAGCAGCTGAAGATGGTGGGGCTGAGGACACTACCCTAAGGAACTCCTGCAGAGATGTCCTGGATGTTTGACCTCCAACAACCACGACCATCTTCCAATGTGTCAGGTATAGCTCCAACCACCAGAGAATTCGCCCCCAATACCCATTGATTCCAGTTTGGCTTTGGGCTCCTTGATGCCGCACTCAGTCGAATGGAGCCTTGATTCAAGGGCTGTCACTCTCACCTCACCTCTGGAATTCAGCTCTTTTGTCCATGTTTAAACCAAGGCTGTACTGAGGTCAGGAGCGGAGTGGTTCTGGCGGAACCCAAACTGGGCATCACTGAGCAGGTTATTGCTGAGCAAGTGCTGCTTGATAGCACCGTTGGTGTCACCTTCCATCACTTTACTGATGATCAAGAGTAGACTGATGGGGCAGTAATTGGCCGAGTTGGATTTGTCCTGCTTTTTGTGTACAGGACATACTTGGGCAATTTTCGACATTGCTGGATAGATACCAGTGTTGTAACTGTACTGGAACAGCTTGGCTGAGGAGCAGTAAGTTCAGGAGAACAAGTCTGCAGTACTATTGCCGGAATGTTGTCAGGGTCCGTAGCCTTTGCTGTATCCAGTGTTTCCGACCGTTTCTTGATATCGCATGGAGTGAATCGAATTGGCTGAAGACTGGTATCTGTAATACTGGGGACCACTGGAGGAGGCTAAGACAGATTATCCACTTGGCACTTCTGGTTGAAGGTTACTGCGATTGCTTTATCCTTATCTTTTGCACTGATGTGCTGGGCTCTTCCATCATGGAGGATGGGGATACTTGTGGAGCCTCCTCCTCTAGTGAGTTGTTTACTTGCCCACCACCATTCACAACTGGATGTGGCAGGACTGCAGAATTTAGATCTGATCCGTTGGTTGTGGGATTGCTTAGCTCTGTCTATCACTTGCTGCTTTCACTGTTTGGCATTCAAGGAGTCCTGCTGGGTGGCTTCACCAGGTTGATACCTCATCTTCAGCTATGCCTGGTGCTGCTCCTGGCGTGCCATCCTGCACTCTCCATTGAACCAGGGTTGATCTCCCGGCTTGATGGTAATGGTTGAATGGGGGATATGCCAGGCCACGAGGTTACAGATTGTGGAGTACAATCCTGCTGCTGTTGATGTCCCATAGCACCCCATGGATGCCCAGTCTTGAGTTGCTAGATCTGTGCGAAGTCTGTCCCATTTAGCACCGAGATAGTGCCATGCAACACGATGGAAGTTATTTTTAATGTGAAGGCAGGACTTCGTCTCCACAAGAACTGTGCGATGATCACTCTTACAAATACTGTCATGGACAGATGCAACTGCAGCTGGCAGATGAGTAAAGATGAGGTCAAGTACGTTCTTCCCTCTTGTTCATTCTCTCACCTCCTGCCACAGACCAAGTCTAGCAGCTATGTCCTTTAGGACCCGGCCAGCTCAATCAGCAGTACTGCTGCTAAGCCACTCTTGGTGGTGTATATTGAAATTTGCCACCCAGAGTACATTTTGTGTCCTTGCCATCCTCGGTGTTTCCTCTAAGTATTGTTCAACATGGAGGAGTACGGATTCATCAGCTGAGGGAGGACGGTATGTGGTAATCAGCAGGAGGTTTCCTTGCCCATGTTTAACCTGAAGCCATGAGGCTTCATGGGGTCCGGAGTCAACATTGATGACTCCTAGAGCAACACCCACCTTCCCCACAATGCCGCCACCTCTGCTGGGTCTGTCCTGCTGACGGAACAGTGCCGGTGATGGTGGTGTCTGGGACATAGTCACATTCTCAGAATCATACTTTACAGACAATGTCAGGCTGTTGCTTAACTCGTCTGTGAGACAGCTCTCCCAATTTTGGCATTAACCCCCAAATGTTAGTGAGGAGGACTTTGCAGGGTTGACAGGGCTGTTTCTGCCGTTGTCTTTTCCGGTGCCGAGGTCAATGCCTGGTGATCCGTCCAGTTTCATTTCTTTGAGACTTTGTAGCGATTGGTACAACTGAGTGGCTTGCTAGGGTATTTCAGAGGGCAATTGACAGTCAACCACATTGCTGTGGGTCTGGAGTCACATGGAAGCCAGACCAGGTGAGGGTGACAGATTTCCTGTCCTGAAGGACATTAGCGAACCCAGATGAATTTTTCCAACAATAGGCAATGATTTCATAGTAATCAGCAGATTCTTAATTCCAGACTTCTTAAAAAAATTATTGAATTCAAATTCCACCATCTGCCACGGTGGGATTTGAACCTGGGTCCCCAGAACATTCGCTGGGTTTCTGGATTAATAGTCTAGTGATAAAACCACTAGGCCAATGCCTACCCTGTCTATAATGCATTGTGCAAAGCAGGAAATCCAATGAGATGCAATCATTGACCAGTATATCGATTCTGGTGCCTACAGTTTATTAGGCTAAGTCCAATATCTGTTAAGTATTGTAGCGTCTGTGAGAAATTTTGCTACCTTCAGAGAATCCCGATTAAACTTGTATCTTAACTCCAGATCAACAAAATACATTATTGTGTGTGTGAACTTTCAAGTCCATGTCAGCTCATGTGACAAATGATTACAATCTCTTCCAAGACGGCTTTTTAAGTGGTTGCTGCAATAAAAATGACAAATCTTTGATCAGACTTTTGCCTGGATTCATGGAGTTAGGAGATGTGAATATATCTCATGGAGTATCAGACCACTGCCAATTTGACAGCTCAGCATTGATCAAGGGAAACACTTGGCCCGTAGATTGCTTAGATTGATCTCCTATAATTACGTTAATTTGGATCAATAGGTAAAGGTTTGTGCCTGTTCTACGTGGAGCACTATGAAGGTACTAAGCCTCTGGGAAATAAAGGAACTTGCTTCCTCAAACCCAAGTCCATAAATCAGGCTGCTGCCAGGTCTCCATTATTAAATTTCATCTTAAATAACAGTTGTGTGAGGAATAGCTTAAAAGCAGCAAATTTGTGATTTTTGTAGGTTTCAACAAGAGAAGAGCAACAATAATGGTATTAATTTTCAGCAATTGACTATTGTGCAAAAATCCCAGGAAATTATGTGGAGCAGTGTAAGTGACTCCTGACTCTCACTTCCTGATCCCATGAATCCAAAAAAAAACCTGGTCACAGACTTATCACTATTTCAGAGATCACATAAAAGCTGCCTTAAAAGAGACTGCAGCTATTTATTGCAAAAGTTGACCTGAAATTATAAGTCCACACAGAATAAAATTGTTTTTATTAATCTGGGGTTGAGGTACTTGTTTAACCAAGATCCTTAAAAGTAGAACATGTATTCAAGTGTTGCTGTAATACTCCCAAACATTTGGCTTGGTTTGAATACGATGTTAGTGACATAATTCCTTGGATCATCTGCACAAAAATGGTGCATGCCACTATTATGGCAGAGATTTTCAGCAAATTCAAATTCTAAAAGAAGATTCATGTAATGGATTTGGCAATCGCTATGATCAGATTAATACACTTCAAACTCCAGGAATAGAGTACTAGAGGATATGTTCAGCTCAGCTGCAAAAACATACTGGTGAACAAATTCAGAATAGGTCAAAGAGTCTCTCAATTCCACATTGCAGGGTCCTTGGTCAATCATCTGTGTGGAGCGGTCTGTCTTCCTGCAAAAAGGAAGATGCAAAATGGAATTTCCAAGTCATTGTGCAATGCAGTTGGCACGATTAATACATTCAAATTAGTAAACAGGTAAGATAGTTAGAAGGCTTTAATGCCATCTGGGTTTGCCTATAAAATACCAGGCCATTTAAAAGTAACATCTGTAAGAGATGTGCCTCGAGACACTCTCAGTCAGGACATGACTGCAAATAGTTAGTTGTTTTTTCTCATTAGATAATCAAGGAAATCACTCATGTTTGAAATCCATGATATCTGAACTGAAATCTGAACAAACTAAAATTTGGGTCACTTAAATTCACTGACAAATATTTGCATACAACATTTGTATAATTTAACTAAAGATAATTGCTCTTTTTAAAAAAAATTATGCAACTGTATGTGCATAATATGTATAACCTTATACATAGGGACCATTTTCCTATAATCAAATCAGTTCCCTGAAACATCAAAGGCAAGGCTCCCAAAGCATCATTTTTTAATCTGCCATAGCAGTAGTCCATATTTCTAGCACTGACTTATAGGTACTGCGGAAAAAGAATGCTGAAAAGTCACAGTTCACAAGGGAACCAAAACAGTTTATTCCTGAAACCCAACAGACATTAGTGATAGCAATCTTCACAAACCTGTAATCACAAGAACATTTCAAACATCAGAAATAACTTCAAGACACAGATCAGAACACACAGCAGCTAGGATTACACTTGGTCACAATTTCTAACTGTAAATCATTGTTAACGGCCACTTCAAAGAAAATTTTTTCTAGGGAGGTGAAAACTGATTCATGGAGTATTAAGTTCACCCTAAAATACAACATACTAAAATAAATCTCAATGAATCCAAATATGCCTCTGTTTTATTATAACAACACAATTTAAAGAGAAGACACAGCAGTAAATTCATAAATATAAATAATGTTACTTTATCTGCATGCAGGAGAAAAATGGGTCTTGTGGATAGTAGTGATGCTCCCGCCTTTGACCCCGAATGTCTGGATTTAAGTTTAACCTGCCCCAAAAGTGTGTCATAGCTTGTCTGAACAGGTTGATTAAAAATATTTTTTGTTTAAACCAACATGCAGAAGGGAGGATCTTGTTGTGTAGTGGTTGTGTCCCTACGCAAGCGCCAGAAGGTTTAGATACAAGTCCCACATCAAGGAAGTGTCATAACACATCCAACAGGTTTAATAAAACTAATCAATATTCTGCCATGAGCTTATGATCTGTTTGGTAACTGCAATTATAATAAATTAAAATTCCGTTTACTAACCATTGTATGAATACTGAGCAAAATCATTCATTGGGAACTGCAATAGGTGTCAATCAATTGAGACACTGGACACAAAACTACAAAGCATCAAGTAAACTGGTGTGCTTTATGGGTAAGAATCAATTAGTATCATGTCTTTAGAATGCATTAGTCAATCGCATAAATAATTGGCAAGAACTAAAGGCAGTGGTTTGTCAAGCTCTGACAACGTTGTAAACCAGAGTGAAGCATTCAATACTTGCAGAACCCATCATAAAAACAGCTCCTGGAGATTTGAATGGTACAGTCACGGTAGGTCGTTGGAGATGTATAACAAGAAACACAAACGGAATAACTTTCTAATAGCAGACTTGTTATTACACAGAACATGGTCATTTGGCCCATTACACCTGAACTCTCTCTAAGCAATTCACAGAGTGCTGTTCTCTTGTCTTCTCCCCATAACCCTACACATTCTTCTATGCTGCGAAAGTGATTACATAAATAAGTGTAGAGAAGGAAATCTCCTGCTGAGAACTGTTTATTTTTGTTTTAAGCAGATACTGGAGCTGGCAGTAGCTATACTACCACACATTTGTTATAGCCTTAGCTTAGTGGCAGCTCTGTTGCCTCCAGTCAAGCTGTATATTCAAGTTCTACTTCAGAGATGTGGGCACAATTTGGTAGCTCATGCCTTCTCTGAGTTCATCTCACATACATCCGTAGCATGAACCCCATTCCCATTTATCTGCTGACCACCCAACTTCCTTCTTAAACCCCTTGTTGGCTGTAATTGTAAATGACTTCCTTTCAAAACTGCCATCATCACTTTAAACAAATCTATCGATGGACCTACAATCTTCCATAAGTGTCACCTGATCCAAACTTTTTCCAGCTCCAAAACTGTTTATTCTCTGCACCCACTTGGTCAGCACTTTCTCTAGTCTCTTGCAGATTCTCTACCCCTCCCCCCTCTGAAACTTTCTGTAAAGCTCCCCTCCCCTTCCACCCAAGAACAAGATCCTCCTTAAAACCCACCCGTATTAAAGCTGTTAGACAAACGCAATGTAAATGTATTCCCTAAAGTGACTTATTTCACTACGTTTCCAGATCAAATGCAAGGATGGAGGCTGAAGGTGAGTGCTGATGCTCTGTGGTTGCATTACACATAGTTGAAGATTGCACGGTTAATGAAATGATCTGATCCATTTATGCTGTTATACTAATGAATTAATACATCAGGAAATAAGAAATAGGAGCAGGACTAGACCTTACAGACCTTCTAGCCTGCTCTGCTATTCAATTAGATTATGGTTGATCTTATGCCTCCACTGGACTTTCCTGCCTCACTCCCCATATTGTTGAGAGATCTAAAGTCTATCACTGCATCTTGGAGTCTGTCTTGGAATACACTCAATGATGAAGTGTCCACAGTCTTCTAGGGTAGACATATCTAAAGATCCACAACCAAATGGAGAAATGTCTAATCATCTACGACTGAGATGAGTAATGTGTTATCTGAGGTCATGCCCTCTTGTTCTAGGCTCCCTCTGAAGGGAAAACAACCTCTCAGGTTTTACCTTGTCATGTACCTTGAGAATTCTTTCTGTTTCACTGAAATTATTTCTTACCCATCTCAACATTAAAGCGTATAAGCTCAATTTATTCAGCCTCCCACCATAGGACAAATCCCTCGTCCTCGGGAACAGTCTAGTGAACCCTTGCCATTCCACCTCCAAGTCAAATATATAGAAAATAACTGCACTCAGTACTTGCTCTCAGAAGGACCTATCAAATTTAAAGCAAGATTTTCTTGTACTCATACTCCAGTTCCCTCACATAAAAGTTAGAAGATCATTTACATAGAAACATAGAAAATAGGGCAGAATGACCCACTCCTGCACCTTCGAGCTTGCACCACCATCAATACGATCATGGCTGATCATGCAATCTCAATATCCCATTCCTGTCCTCTCCCAGTCCCCTTGATCCCTTTAACTGCAAGGCCACATCCAGCTCCTTCTTGAGTATATCTAATGAACAGGTCCCAACAGCTTCCTGTGGGAGAGAATTCCACAGGTTCACAATTCTGAGTGAAGAAATCCTTCCTTACTTCAGTCCTAAATGGCTAACCCCTTATTCTTACACTGTGACCCCTAGTTCTGGACTTCCCCAACATCAGGAACATTCTTCCTGCATGCAGCTGTCTAGTCCCATCAGGATTTTATTAGTTTCTAGGAGATCCCGTTTCATTCTTCTAAATTCCAGCCAATACAAGCCCAGTCAATCCAGACTTTCCTCATATCAGTCTTGCCATCCTGGGAATTCAGTCTGGTGAACCTCCTGGACCCCCTCAATGGCAAGAATGTCCTTCCTCAGACCAGGAGACCAAAACTGCAGACAATGCTTGCTAATTGCTCAGGTGTATCTGCACAATAACCATGTACGAGTACAACCAGTACGTTCAAATATCAATATTGAAATTTCAACCATTTTTGTTAGGCATTTTGAACTTTTCTTAAATGAATTTTGAACCTTGGCCAGCTCTCTCCTCACATCATGGAACTGGCAGTGTTTTAAATTTAAAGATTCCAGGTCTGGATTTTTAAAGAATTTGTTCATGAGATTTGTGTTGCTGGCTAGACCAATATTTATTACCCGTCTCTAATTGCCCAGAGAACAGTTAAGAGTCAACCATATTGCTGTGGGTCTGGAGGCACCTGTTGCCGAGACCAAATAAGGACAGATTTCCTTCCCTAGAAGCCATTAGTCCTTCACATTAGCAAACCACGGAGGTTTTATGACAACTGACAGTGATTACACGGCTGTTTTCAGACTACCTTTTAATACCAGATTTTATTGAATTCAAATTTTGAACTCATGTCCCCAGAACATCAGCTGTTTTTGATTGCTAGTCCTGTAATATTACCACTCTGCCACAACCACCCCTTGAAACGAATTGCTCTCAAATTAAAAATGAATTCAATTGTATTATGATCATTTTTGCCAGTGGATATTTTATCATAAGATTACTGATTAAGCCTCCCTCATACTCAATGCTAGATCTAAATCAGCTTTGTCCCTTGTGGGTTCCAGTACATTGTTTCAGGAAGCGGGCATGAAAGCATTCAACATACTCACCTTCCAAGTGAACTCTGCCCATTTAATTTGTTTTGTCCATCTGAAGACTGAATCCACCATGGATTATTCTGATATAATTGGACATTGCAACAAAGGTTTCTTCATTAATATTCAGTGCAGTGCTATAACTACTGTTAAGGGAACTTTAAACCATCCTTACCAACATTTTTTGACATTTAACATTGATATTTGCTACTGGTACAGATGTTAGTTCCTGATCTACTCAGCCAAGATTCTTTCCTACATCTATCCTTACATTATTCTTCCTTATTGGGCTAATGATTTCCCTTCCATTCTGCCAGTTCTGAATATTCATTTCCTGACCTTGGTCACCTAGTAACTGATGTTTCTGCAAGTGCAATTAGATCAAACCAATCCATCTATATTCATGCCTGTAGCTTGGTCCACCTTACTACAAATGATCTGTACATTCGGATAAAAATCTATTAGTTTTATTGTTACTTATACAGACCTTTACTGATTCACTATTAGCACAGATCATTGAAGGTGGCAGGACAGATGGAGAGCAGAGCAAGTAAAGCAAACAGTATCCTTGGCTTTATTAGTAGGGGCATAGAGTACAAGAGCAAGGAGGTGATGTTCAACTTGTATAAGACAATATTTCAACCTCAACTGGAGTACTGTACAGAGTTCTGGATGTCACATTATAGGAAGGATGTGAATGCATTGGAGAGAGTGCAGAAGTGATTTACAAGCATGGTTCCAGGGATGAGAAACAACAGTTACGAGGACAGATTGAAGACATTGGGACTATTCTCTTCGGAGAGAAGTAGGCTAAGAGGAGATCAGGCAGAAGTTTTCAAAATTATAGGTTTGTTATACTGGATACAGTATATTGGAGAAATGGTTCCTGCTTGTAAAAGGACTGTAAAATGGCATAAATTTAAATTTACAAAAGAGGCAAAGGTGATAGGAGAAAAAATAAAACCAAAAGAACTGCAAATGCTGTAAATCAGAAATGAAAATAGAAGTTGCTGAGAAAGCTCAGCAGGTCTGGCAGCATCTGTGAAGGGAAATCAGGATTAATGTTTCGGGTCTGGTGACCTTTCCTCTGAAGGAACACTTTCCCTCAGCAACTACAGAAATCACAACACCAGGCTATGGTCCTGATGTTAGTAAGACTCTGAAAGCTTGTGTTTTCAAATAAACCTGTTGGACTGTAACCTGGTGTCGTGTGATTTCTGAGCTTGTCCAACCCAGTCCAACACCGGCACCTCCACACCTCAGCAAGTAGTTAGGGTATGGAATGCATTGCCTTGAAGTGTGGTGCAGGCTGGCTGAATTGAGGAATGCAAAAGGACTTTGGATGATTACTTCAATAAAAATATTGTGGAAGGGTATGGGGAAAAAGCAGGAGATTGGCACTAGGTAATAACGCTCATTTGAGGAGCTGGTGCAGACACGGGCGAAACAGTTTGTGTTATGGCAATGAGGTCGAACCCCTCTGATAATTAAAAGCGAAATACCAAGAGAAGCTCATCTCGTAATCTGCTAAAGAAAATGGGAAAAATGGTATAACCTGCCCTTCACCTCCCAATCTGTTTTGAAGGAGAGGTTAAATGAAAGAAATCCCTGATATTCACTTTATAAGCAACAAGTAACAATTCATTTATCTAATTCTAACAGTGAACAAATTAGCAGACCTACTAACAAACTGAACAATTCCCCCTTACCTACTAACCATTCCCGAACAGAACAAAACTCTAATGGCATGCTGTTCCAATAAATAAAATCCCACTTAAATAAACCAAAATAATAAAATAAATTAAATCTTAGATTCTCAAAACTACAGTCAGGATGCATCTTCCGGAATGTTCCATGCCTTTTCTGCTATTCTTCAGTCAGGAATTCGTTCTTCATTAAATCCTTGTGTCAGGATTATTAGCCAAGAGTGCCGTGGCACATTTTAGATGGTGCTTGATCAAAGAACACTAAGATTTCCACGAGAGCCAGAGTTTTACTCTTCTGATGGCAGTTCGCTCTCACTCTGATTTTCAAAAACCCTCTTTTTATATATCCTTGATGATACGTCAATTTTCTTATAATAGGATTGGTCCTAGCTTGTCAATATCATCCGAGGAAGGGTCACCGGACCCGAAACGTTAACTCTGTTTTCTCCTTCACAGATGCTGGCAGACGTGCTGAGCTTCTCCAGCAACTTTGTTTTTGTTCCTGATTTAAGGTTGTTGACTTGCTCGTCGAGCTGGCTTGTTCTCGTTCAGACATTTTGTCGCCATGCTAGGTGACATCATCCGTGGAGCCCCCAGTGAGGATAGCCAGCAAGTCAACAACCTCACCCACAACCAGAACTACAGATTTTTACCAAAACTTTGACCATCAGATTTAAATTAAATTGGGTTTTGGTAGCTAGGGCCTGGTTTAAGTTAATTGGCTGGTTGCCTTAACATCAAAACAAGCCTAGGTTGCCAACCACACAGCCAATTGATACAGATATTTCAATTTTAGAACCATCTGTGCATCTACAGCTGCTTGCAGACAATTTTTCTCTCCAAGCTTAGAAAAGCACATCACCTCTTAAAGGGACCATAGACTCTCCTCCCCTATCATTTTTACAAATTCTAACATCCTGCCTTCTAATTCACAAGTACTCTACCCAACTTTGCAACAGTTTGCTTGCATGCCACTAAACTTGTGATTCTGTGAACCACTTTTGTATAAATACAACTAAATGTAGCAATCAGCATTTCTGCATGACGCTGAATCTCATCCAATGTGATTCTCTGATTTTGACAGCTTTCTGACCTAATGTGGCATGACAACTCACATGACAAAGCGTTTTTAGCAGAGCTAAAGCCCAATGTCCTTCACAGGAATGCCAACAACCATAATCTGACAAATCACCTAAGGGTATATTAGGATAGGGAACAAAAAACTACTTGAACAATGTGATAAGAGTCATCATGAAGGAGGAAAGGGAGGTAAAAGAGGAAAAGAGGTTGAGGAAGTGACCAGGCAACTGAAGACTTGCCCCAGTGGCAATGCAACAAAAGCTTGGAATATACGAGAAACCAGAACTGAAGCAGTCAAAAGATCTCAATGTTTGGGTGGTGAATGTTTACAGTACATAGATTGTGAGGGACAAGATCATGGAGAGATTTGTAAATGCAATGATTAGAACTTTAAATTTCCACATCAGGTCCCAACTTAGTTCAACAAGCACTGGGCTGCCCAGGGCCTGGTGTGAGTTAGGATGGCTGCAGCAGAGTTTGAATTAACTCAAATTTATCGAGTGTCCACAAGACAAATGACTTATCATGAGAGCAAATGAATGGTCAAATCCTGAGGAAACAATAGGATGAGTGAGGGTTTCAGCAGCAGATGAGCTGAGGCATAGACAAAGATAAGGATGTTACAGAGGCGAATGTACAGTTTTGGTGATGGTAAGGATATGGGGTGGATAGGATATGAGGTGGAGTGCCTAGGGATCAAAGTTTGACACAGGGACCAGGACATCTAGCACTAGATGAAAAACAGGAATGGGTGCTGGGAATGGCTGGTCAACTTTTTAAAACTGAGCTTTGACTAAGAGGCTAAACATTCTGTATTTAAGTCCCACTTGCTACACGTAAGCACAAGAATCTAGAGTGTCAGCCTAACATGGTATGAAGGGAGTGCTGCATTGTCAGCGATGTTGCCTTTCAGATGAGACACAAACAAAAACCCAAAGCATTTTCTGATATTGGAAGCAGTCATAAAAGATTCCTAAGGCATTGCTTTGAAGACAAGTGAAGTTGTCCTTGGTGTCATGGCCAATATTTGTGTCTCATCTAAAATCACCATAAAATTCTGACCATCCGTTTATTATTAGATTGCCGTGCAGATATTTAGATACATTCAAATAAAAGCAAGGATGGAGATGCTGGAAATCCAAAATAAAAATCGTAGGTCTGGCAGTACCTTAAGCAAAATTCAAACGTTAACTCTGCCTCCTCTCCCCACAGATGCTGCCAGACCTGCTGAGTTTCTCCAGCACCTTCTGTGATTGTTATTTGGGGGAGGCCTATCGGCCCACCGTGCCCGTGATGGTCCTCAAAGCATCTATCCATTCTAATCCCATTTTACCAGCACTTGGCTCCGAAAAAGATCACAGGAGCAAGACCGTGAGAGTACCACTACCACTACCACTACCCCTACCCTACCCCACCCCACCCCACCCCACCTCCCCTCCCCTCCCCTCCGCCCGCCGCCGGACGTGCAGGGCCTGCTGACAGGCGCTTCACAAATGCAACACAGTTCCTACTATCTCTGATAGCAGGACAAGCCCCAGATTCCGCCTCTCACCAGCCGCCATCCGCCTGCAGCCCTCCGGCGTCCCCCACCGCCAACAACAAGACGGCGAGGAGGATCCGAGGCTCCATGCCGTCGCGCCGAACCGGGAAGCTATCGCGCCACCGCGACTCCGAGCCCGCCACCTCCAACGGCCACACGCTGAACACCGGCCACGGCGCGCTGACCTCACAAGGGGTGGGTGGGGGAAACGTGCTCGCAAAGCATCCCGGGATCTGTAGTTCTCGCAAACGCCCCCAAAAATAACCGGCCTACAGTTCCCACCGCGCACCGCGCGCAGCGGGGCCTCATGGGAGCTGTAGTCCATTCACCTTGTCCCTCAGGTGAGTTGAGGCTCCCAGGTCGTTTTGTCTCAAGAGATAACAAGGTGTAGAGCTGGATGAACACAGCAGGCCAAGCAGCATCAGAGGAGCAGGAAGGCTGACGTTTCGGGCCTAGACCCTTCTTCAGTTTTGTCTCAATTAGACTTACCTCCAGGAGCAGAAAGATGCGCGACACATCTCATTTGCTTGTCATATAATCACTCTGGATTCTGAAATATTCAGTCCCTGATGTCTGATTTAAACTCAAATGGTTGTTTGATCACTGTACCTTGCAAGGGAGACAGTAGTTTGGTGGTATAGAACTTGATTATTACTGAAAAAGCTTTTGTTGAAGTTTTTTTGCCATGCATGCATTAGGACAATGTGCAAGAATTGCATCTTTTTTTCAGCCTGACCGCGATATCCAGCACACAATTTGGAGGAAGGGTTACCGGACCTGAAACATTAACTCTGACTTTACCTTCACAGATGCTGCCAGACCTGCTGAGCTTTTCCAGCAACTTCTGTTTTTGTTCCTGATTTACAGCAGTTCTTTCAGTTTTTCCATGATATCCTGCAATCTGTTCCCTGCATTGATTACTCTTTGTCAGAAGTCGCTCCACACCAGGTTATAGTCCAACAGGTTTATTTGGAATCACACAAGCTTTCATAGCACTGCCCCTTTGTCAGATGCAGTGAGAGAGCAGGGCACACAGACGCAGAACTTATAGGCAGAGAGATCAAGCACAGAAATCAAAAGATCATACAACTGGTGTGAGTGCAGAGTCAAATGATAAGTCTTTGCAGGTGACCAGAGTGTTAGACAGTGTGTAAAGTGTTAATAAAGTCAATGTCAGTTCTGTGCTGTCATGACAATCAGGCAGAGCCATAGGAATGTACAAAAGGTGACATCTCAGGTTGGACACTGAATTGTAGGTGTGAGGCTTTGTTCAGAATCCCTCAAGAGTTTTAACCTGGAATCGGGCTGGTTTTATTCCAAAAGTTGGAATTTATAAGATGCCACGCTGACTGACTGTGAATACTAATTGTATATTTTTTGAACAAAATAGAATGTATCTGCAAATAAACAAACATCTTGGATGAAATAATTCATCCCACAGATTTGTGTGTGTGTGTGTGTGTGTGTGTGTATGTGTGTGTCTTTGTGTGTGTGTGTGTGTGTGTGTGTGTGTGTCTGTGTGTGTGTGGGACAGGGAGAGAGACAGTGTATGCGTGTATGTGCCTGAGAGAGAATATGTATGAGTCTGAGAGAGTGTGTGTGTGAGTGTGAATCAGAGTGTCTTTATGTGAAAGTGTGTGTATGAGAGACTGTGTGAGAGTGTCTACGTATGAAAGGGTTTTAAAAGTAATTCAAAACTGTACAAACTAATTAAGAGAGAGAGACAATAACAATTTATCAAGGTGATGTGGTCAAAACAGGAAAGTAAGGAAGATTTTACAGATACAGAACAGTATGATGGGGTCACCTGTAGCGCAACATGAACCCAAGATCATGGTTGAGGCCATCTTCATGGATATGAAAGTTGGCTATCAGTCTCTGCTTGGCAATTCTGTGTTGTTGTGTATCTCGGAGTCCCCCCGGAGGACGCTTACCCGAAGACTGGAGGCTGAATGCCCTTGCCCGCTGAAGTGTTCCCAGACTGGGAGAGAACATTCCTGTTTGGCGATTGATGATTGGTGTCCATTCATCCGTTGTTGCAGCATCTGCATGTTTTCACGAATGTACCATGCCTCGGGTCATCCTTGCCTGCAGTGTATGAGATGGACAACATTTGCCAAGTCACATGATTATCTACAGTGAATGTGGTGGGTGATGTTCCCATGTGTGATGGTAGTATCCATGTTGATGATCTGACATGTCTTGCAGAGGTTGCCATGGCAGGGTTGTGCAATGTTGTTGTTAACGTTGTCCTGAAGGATTGGTAGTTTGCTGTGAATGATGGTCTGTTTAAGGCTTGGCAGATGTTTGAAGGCAAGAAGTGGAGGCGTGGGCAAGTTCTTGGTGAGATGCTCATCGTCATTGATGACATGTAGAAGGCTGCAAAGAACATGGCGTAGCTTCTCTGCTCCAGGGAAGTACTGGACGACAAAGGGTATCCTATTGGTCGTATCCTGTATCTGTCTTCTGAGGAGGTCGTTGTGGTTTTTAGCTCTGGCATGTTGGAGCTGGCAATCGATGAGTTGAGCATCGTATCCCGTTCTTATGAAGGTGTTTTTCAAAACCTTTAGGTGCCTGTTGTGTTCCTCCTCATCTGAGCAGATCCTGTGTATGCGCAGGTCCTGTCCGTAGGGGATGACTTCTTTAATATATTTAGGGTGGAAGCTAGAGAAGTGCAGCATCATGAGGTTATCCATGGACTTGGGGTAGAGTGAGGTACTGAGGGGTCTGTCCTTGATGGAGATGTGTGTGTCCAAGAATGAGACTGATTCTAAAGAGTAGTCCATGGTAAGCCTGATGGTGGGATGAAACTTGTTGATATTGCTATGTTGTTGTTTCAGTGATTCCTCGCCATGAGCCCAAAGGAAGAAAATGTTGTCAATGTGTCTGGTGTATAGCATTGGTTGGAGGTCCTGTGCAGCAAAGAAGTCTTGCTTGAACTTGTGCATGGAGATATTGGCATATTAGAGTGCAGATATGGTCCCCGTGGCTGTTCTGTGTGTCCGGATGAAGAACTGTTTGTCAAAAGCGAAGACATTGTGCTCGAGAATGAAGCAGATGAATTGTAGGATGGTGTCTGGAAATTGGCAGTTGTTGGTATTGAGTACTGGGGCTGTTGCAGCGATGCCATCATCGTGGGGGATGCTGGTGTAGAGTGCCGAAACGTCCATTGTGAAGAGGAATGTTCCTGGTTCTACTGGTCTGTGGGAGCTGAGTTTCTATAAGAAACCTGTAGTATTGCGACGGAAGCTGAGGATTCCTCTTACAATGGGTTTCAAGATGCCCTCAACATAGCCAGAAAGGTTCTCACACAGGGTCCCATTACCTGATACAATGGGACATCCAGGTGTGTTGGCTTTGTGTTTCTTCGGAAGGCAGTAGAAGCCTCCGACGTGAGAAGTTTGCTGGAAGAGAGTGCGTAGGATACTCTGAGGGATTGGATCAAAAGTCTTGATCAGTCTATTGAGTTGACGGGTGTGTTCTTTGGTTAGATTGGCAGGTAGTTGTCTGTAGTGTTCCTGGCTGTTCAGTTGTCGGTATGCTTCTTTGTGGTAGTCTGTTCTATATTGTATGATGATGGCTCCTCCTTTGTCTGCTGGTCTGATGACAATGTTGCGATTGGTCTTGAGAGCACGGATAACATTGTGTCATGCTTGGATAACGTTCTGCACTACCTTGTCAGTGCAGCTGATGAATCTGGTGTTAACACATCTCCTGATGGCTTGAGCATTCATGTCGAGCCTAGGGCAGCGACCTTCTGGAGGGGTCCAATTCGACTCCTTCTTTGATTGTTGCATTGTAGATCTCTCAGTCAACTATTCCAGTTTGTTGGTTGTCTCATTGGGCTCGCTGCTGACATCTTGGGATTTGTGGAAAAGTTCTCAGAGCCTCATTTGCCTGATGAATTCTCGTGTCAGCTACGAGATGCCAAACCTTAAACAGACCATTGTTCGCAGCAAACGACCCAGCCTTCAGGACGACATCAACAATGCCACCACACAACCTTGCCCTGGCAACCTCTGCAAGACACATCTGACACATTGTCTTGGATACTACCATCACACATGGGAACACCACCCACCATGTTCATGGCAGATACTCATGTGAGGTAGCTGGCTGAGATTATCAGGAATATCTCATTTTCTCAACTTCACCCTCAGTTTAGTATCAGTACGAGTCGCCTCTCTCTAATGAGAAAGCAGTCTAGTGATCGTCTGGGATATGGAAACTTCAGCATTGAATGGTGTGTTCCTCATAGCAACATTTCCACAGATGGAAGTCCACTTGCCAACCAATCAGCACTCTTCCCTAAACAGCATAAATGTTGCTTTCTCTTTACATGGATATTTCTTGCTAATGGCCCAGTGTTATTATCACTGATCTGTTAATCTGGAGACCCAGGTAATTTTCTGGGGACCCTGGTTTGATTCCCACCATGGCAGATGGTGGAATTTAAATTCAAAAAAGCCTGAAGTTAAGAGTCTAATGATGACCATGAATCCATTATCGATTGTCAGAAAATAACATCTGGTTCACTAATGGCCTGTAGGGAAGGAAACTGCCATCCTTACCTGGTCTGGCCTACATGTGACCCACAGCAATGTGGTTGACTCTTCCCTGCCCTCTGGGCAACTAGGGATGGGCAATAAATGCTGACCTAGCTGGTGACGCCATTCATCCCATGAATGAATAAAAATAATCATCCTGATAGCAAAATGCCATTGCGTCCATAGGGCTGCTCTCTCATTAGAGATGACTGGTGTAGTTTAACACAAGAGTGATCACACCTCAGCCAGGGCAGGAACTGAACCCACACTCTTAGCATCACAAACCAGCCGTCCAAGCTGGCCAACCCCTCCTGAGGGCAAAATAAAAAGCTTCCACAAAATGTGACTTTTTCAGCAATACCTGAGATCTGAAGCAAATGACTATCTGTATACAAGACTGTACCTTGTTATAACAAACACAATACCAATCACTGTTGCTGAGGACTGAGTCATTTTTTAAGTGAGTAATTTTCAAGCTAGATGAACAAATCATCATTTAATATTTAGATGTATTATTTAGAAACTCAGTATTGAGAGGTTATTAAATGAATGCATCCTCCTGTCTGTTGTTATTCTTGTCTGGCTTCATCATTTCTCTTTGCTTTGGGTTTTCTAACATTAATACCTTTCAGCAAATTACTCTCCCAGCTCCAGCATTGGAGCATTACTGTAGTAAGATACTCCGTGCCATTACATCAGGGTTCCAACTGAAACATGAAACAGAAAATGTTCCACGTGTTCCTTTGTGAATGACCATCAGATCCATAAAAGCATAGGACCAGAGGTAGGCCATTCAGCCCATCGAATATGCTCCACCATTCAATGAGATCATGGCTGATCTGATAACCCTCAACTCCGCTTTCTGGCCTAATACCTTAATCATTAAAAATCTGAGTACCTCAGCAATGAATATATTTACGAAGTATAAAAGCAAATACTGGAAATCTGCAAAAAGAAACTACAGAAAATGCTGGAGAAACTCAGCAAGTCTGGCTACGTCTGTGTAGAAAGGGACAGAGTTAATATTTTGAGTATGCCATGACTCTTCTTCAGAACTGACATGTTAAAATGTCAGATTTAGGAATGAAAAGCTATTGGCTAAATAAAAATTAAAATTGGGGATTGATTTGAAACCTCTGCAGTACCATTGGGTACCTCTTGATGGCGATGTTGATATTAGATTTCATCAAATGAACTATCACCACCATATCATAGAATCATACAATACAGAAAAGACCTTTTAGCCCATCAAATCTGTACTGTCAAAAATATACCATTACCTTCATTAGTCCCACTTCCCCACTCTAGGCTCATAACCTTGAATGTTATGATATTTCAAACGCTCATCCAAGTACTTTTAAACATAGAGAGGTTTCCCACCTTGACTACCCTCCCAGGCAGTGCATTCCAGACCCCCACCACTCTCTGGGTGAAAAGGCTTCTCCTCAAATCCCTTCTAAACCTCCTGCCTTTCACTTTAAAATTATGCTCCCTTGTCATTTAACCCTTAAACTAAGAGGAACAGCTGCTTTCAGTTCACCCTGTCAATGCCCCTCATAACCTTATACAACACCATCAGGTCTCCCCTTAACCTTCTCTACTCCAAAGAAAGCAACCCGAGCTTATCCAGTCTCTCTTCATTGCTGTAATGCTCCAAGCCAGGCAACATCCTGGTGAATCTCCTTTGCACCCTCTCCAGTGCAATCACATCCTTCTTATTGTGTGGTGACCAGAATTGCCACAGTAGTACTCCAGCTTGGGCTAACCAAAGTCCTATACAGCTCCTACATAACCTTCCTGCTCTTATAATCTATAAGATATGGGGAGGTAATAACCTCGTGGTATTATTGCTAGACTGACAAGCCAGAAACCCTGGTAATGTTTTGAGAACAGGTTTAGAATCCTGCCATAACAGCTGGATTTGAATTTGAACTCAATAAACATCTGGAACTAGGAGTCCAGTGATGGCTATGAAACCATTGTTGATTGTTGGGGAAAAATCCATCTGGTTTATTAATGTTCTGTAGAGAAGGAAACTGCCATCCTTACCTTGACTGGCTTACACGTGACTCCAGACCCATAACAATGTTGTTGACACTCAGCTGCCCTCTGGCCAATTAGAAATGGGTAATAAATGTTTACTTGAACAGTGATGCCCATATCTGTGAAAGAATAAAGTAAAAGATAAAGGAAATACTAATAAAGACAAGCCAACCATATGCCTTCTTTTCTACCTATTAATCTGTCCAGCCACCTTCAGAGATCTGTGGACAAGCATCTCAAGATCCCTGTATTGCTCCAAGCTTCCTGGTGTCCTGCCATTCATTGAGTACTCCCTTGCTTTGTTCCTTCACTGTAATGGAAACTGGAACTAAGATGTGTCATTTTGCCCTTTCAGTTTACTTTAATCAATGGCCTTAATGGATCTACCATAATATGTCACCATGCAACCACAAAGAGAACTCCTTTCCAAGAGTTTACAAGTATGGTTCCAGGAATTATAAACATCAGTTCGATTTACAAGATGGTTCCAGGGGAGTGGCAAGGATAGACTGAAAAAGTTTCGTAGATTCCCTACAGTGTGGAACAGCCCCTTTGGCCCAACCAGTCCACACTGACCCTCAGAGCATCCTACCCAGGTCCATCCTCTGTAACCTACCTAACCTACACATCCCTGAACGCTACGGGCAGTTTAGCATGGCCAATCCACCTAGCCTGCACATCTTTGGACTGTGGGAGGAACCCGGAGCACCTGGAGGAAACCCACACAGACACAGGGAGAATGTGCAAACTCCACACAGACAGTCGCCCAAGGGTGAAATTGAATCTGGGTCCTTGGCGCTGTGAGGCAGCAGTGCTAACCACTGAGCCACCATGCCGCCTTCTACTTGGAGAGAAGAAGGGTGAGAGGAAATTAGATAGAGGTTTTCAAAATCTTGGGCCGGCTGGACATAATACATTGTAGAAGCTGTTCCCACTCATAAAAGAGAAAAAAACAAGAGGACATGCATTTAAAATGATGTGCAAATGAAGCAAGGGTGGTCTGAGGAAAACCTTTTTGACTGAGTAAGTAGTTAGGGTCTGGAATGCTCTGCCTGGAAAAATGATGGAGGCAGGTTCAATTGAGATCTTCAAGGGGGCATTGGATGATCATTTGGATTGGAATGGTGTGCGGAGTCATGGGGAAAGGACAAGAAATTGGCACTAGGTAATACAACCGGTGCAGGCATGATGGGCTGAATGGCCTTTTTCTGCAGTGTAACAATTCTGTAATTCTAGTTATACACCATCTTTCATGAACGCAGGGCCTCCCAGACCAATTTACAGCCAATGATTCACATTTACAACAGAATCCTTGTGGGAACATGGGGAAAATTGGCAGCCAGATTGCATACAGCAACATCCCAAATGAAGTTTAAAATGTAAAGCTTATAAAACCTATGTGTGAAGTTTTGGTGAGAACAAGAAGAATTGTTCTGCAAATACTGCCACAGAATCAAATTCATATTTATCCACATGGGAGCACAAAGTGTCTTAGTTTCATACCACAACAGCCAGATGGCACCAGCCAGCAGTGTAGCATCTTTTCTGTACTGCATTGAGCAGTGCCAAAAATTAATGCTTTCAAATCTCTTGGGCTTTGAACCTACTATATTCTCATTTAAATGGACTGTGCCAAGCTTGGCATTATTATTTATGTATGCAAGTATAGAACTGTTTGATCATGTTACGGTTACACAACCATCATTCCACAGGGTAACCAGTTAATCACATTGTAACAAAAGCACTTGAATCCAGTCACATAACATTGGGGTTTTAGAGTGTTTTTTTTTCACCTTAAAACCATGACATTTCTGGATTTAATTTTTTTCTCTCTAAACTGGACCTAGTACATTGAAACTGGGTTTCCCTTTGTTAGAGATAGTAGGAACTGCAGATGCTGGAGAATCTGAGATAACAAGGTGTAGAGCTGGATGAACACAGCAGGCCAAGCAGCACCCTGATTCCCTTTGTTAGAGTAAACTTTATTAATTTTTGTGTTTGTGCAGGCATTGTCTGTATCATAGTTGTTAGCTATAGGAAGAATATATCATTTCTCAAATGAGTCCCTGATGCTCATGGCCTTGGAGGAGATGTTAGTGTCAGGTGAATCTGCTTCGTCTGTAGATGTAAAATGAGTTATTCTCCTTCCTCACCTTTCTCCAAACCTTTTGCTAATGGTTTCTCTAAAGCTTTCTTAGTGGCCTTCTTGTGAACCTGTTTCTTCATATCAACTCTCTTCAATCTCAGACACAGATGGGGCCTGCCTCAATTATGGTTGTTGCCTTACCCAGCTCAAGATTACACAGATGACAGGCCTGCTGTTTAAAACGATAATATATGCAGGTTTGCCCAGTGAAGTTCAGTGGGGATGCATTGCCTGTGATTAAAGGAATGTTTTAGTGGATTAAAATTCTAGAATGATCTGTCACAAGGAAATCTTTACCTAAACAACTGTCTCTGTCCCCACCCTACTGCGTCACCCAAACTCCCATTCATTTTGTTTGTAATGAAAATGAATATATAATGTCCAGTCTCATAATATCATAGAATCATACACTAAGGAAGAGGACCTTTAGCCTGTTACATCTATACTGCCAAAAATATACCACTAAGTTCATTAGTCCCACTTTCCCACACTAGGCCCACAGTCTTGAATGTTCTGACCCTTCAAGTGTTGTTGAGAAAGGGGCAGGAGTTCAGATTTAAAAGGGACCTGAGGGGCCACTTTTTCACATAGAGGGTAGTGCCTATATGGAACGAGCTGCCTGACGAAGTGGTAGAGGTGGGTATAATTGTGACACTTAAAAGACATTTGGACAGGTACATGGCTCGGAAAGGTTCAAGGGGGTTTTGGGCCAAACACAGACAAATGGGACTAGTTCAGTTTAGGAAACCTGGTCAGCATGGACGAGTTGGGCCAAAGGGCCTGTCTCTGCGCAGTGTGATCCTATGACTCTATTAGGCTGAGTGCAGAGGGGCCTTCTCTGATCTTGCCACAGAAGCTTGCTTGACAGAGGAGCAGCAGACTAGCTTTAACCTGTAGTTCAATTTATGGTTACCTTTAAAGATTAGGATAAGTTCTAAGTGAAGCTTTCACCTCAAACATCCAATTATCAATACCAGGAATTCTTTCAGTGCATTGACTGTAAGAATTATGCGTATGGTAGATATTTTTAAGCACTTTTATATTGAATCAGCCCTTTTAATTAAAAGCTGTCTCCCTGACTACACCTTTGGCCTCCACATCCTACCCCCACCCCCAAATTTACTCCTTATTGAACCAATATTTCTTCTTGCTTAGCAATCAATTTTCCCTTATGATGCTTCTGTGAGCCACTATGAATATTTTCTTCTCTATTTTACATGTGCTATATGAATACAAGTTACTGCTGTTTGTATGTATTTACGTTGGCCAGTTTCTCTGTGATTGGTTGCATCTTTGTAATTCTATGTTTTGTAAATAAATTCAGTTTATGGTTTAAGCTTATCAGATTTGGATATCTAAGTATGTTTTTTTTTATATATTTGGAAGAGTGTGATTCATTTACCATGCAATTTCCAGTGCTGGAAAACTCAATAAAGAGGTAATGGCCTGTGCTTTGATTTGCTACCTCTATTGGCAAATATGTATGGTATCCAATTCTGTTCATGAAACCCACAAGACTTCCTGTGGAAACTGAACTTTGCTGCAGAAATGAATAAAGAGATTTGCAATGACCTTCACAAAGAAGCAAAAAAAAGTTTCAAACAGAATTTTGCTCTATGAGAGCTGCATAAACAATTACGTCATTCTGAATGGTGCCAACAACCATTAAATTTGTGAATCCAAGAAACAGACATTATTGAGAGTATTCCCAGAGCACAGCGTCTGCACATTCTTGGGAGAGTCTGTTAAAAAAACACAGAAGAAAATTAAAGGCTACTATCTACAAAAGAGATCCACGATATTCGGTTGTAAGAAAGGAAAAAAACATTGAGGGGCCATTTATTTCATCTTGTATAAATTTAAACAGAATTTGACGCAATAATTGTGATGGAAGCCAAGCCAGAAAGATTTTTCAAGCTGCAGTCACCTGCAGCCCATAATGTGCTGCTGTAAAACACCCTCACGTCTTCATCCAAGCTTATTGCCATCAATGAAAAGTGATTCCTTTTTCAATAAAAACTGAAAGAACTTTGGATGCTGCAAATCAGAAACACAAACAGAAATTGCTGGAAAAGCTCAGCAGGCCAGGCAACATCTGTGGAGAGAAATCAAGTTAATGTTTTGGGTCGAGTGACCCTTTTTCAGAACTGAGGAAGGGTCATTGAACCCGAAATGTTAAATCGATTTCTCTCTACAGATGCTGCCAGACCTGCTGAGCTTTTCCGGCAATTTCTATGATTCCTTTTTTGTTTACTCAAGAAGGCACATCTCAGCAAGCTTCCTGCCTAACCCAGAGGCATCACTCTGCATTTCCTCCCTGTTCCAACCAGGATCACACATTTATTACAGTGAAGAAGAGGCCATTTGGCCCATCGTATATGCAGCAGCTCTGGAAGCATTTTAACTTAGTGCCAATCCCCTGCTTTCTCTGCTCAAGCCTGTGCTTTGCTTCTATTAGAATTAGAAATAGAATTTAGAATTAGAACTAGAATTTAGAATTAGAAATAGAATTAGAATAAGAAATAGAACTAGAATTAGAAATAGAATTAGAATAAGAAATAGAACTAGAATTAGAAATAGAATTTAGAATTAGAAATAGAATTTAGAATTAGAAATAGAATTAGAAATAGAATTTAGAATTAGAAATAGAATTAGAATAAGAAATAGAATTAGAATTAGAAATAGAATTAGAATTAGAACTCGGTTTATTGTCACATGTACTCAAGTTACAAAAGAATAGGAATACAATGAAAAGTGTACAATGTCGCCAACATATGGCACCATCTTAGGTACAAAGTACCTAGGTACAAGTCTTAGGTACAAAGAGTGGAGAAAATAAAGAAAAATAGTTAAACTACATTACAGATATACATCAGATAAATATGTCAGGAAAATAAGAAATAAATCTAAAAAGATAGACATTACGGTCTTTCTATACGGGCTTCCATGTTGTCTGACCAGGCTCTACCCATTCCCAACGATTAGCCATCTTCGCTCTGGGCCACCGGCCACTGTCCCTGCTCTAGGCCGCTGTCTGCCCCCTGTTCATTTCAGGCCGAGGAAAAAAGACAGAAGAGAAAGAAAAAAGACACGAGTGAGAGAAAAAAAAAGACAAAAAAAGAAAAGGAACAGATGGAGTGGATGAGCTCCAGCTGGAATATCTACTCCGCCACCATCTTGCTGTTATATTTGTATAATCATCCAATATCGTCAATTGAACCTGCTTCACCACACTTCCAGGCAGTGCATTACAGACTGTAATCACTCTCTGTATGAAAAAGTTCTTCGTCACCTCCCATTTGCATCTTTTGCAAAACACTTCCAAACTGTTTTCTCTGATTCTTGATCCTTTTGTGGGCAGGGACAGTTTCTCCCTGTACACTCTGTCGAGACCTCTCACAATTTTGATGTCTTCCATCAACTAAGCCCTCAGTCTTCTCTTCTCCAAGGAAAACAGACCCAATATTTCCGATCTATCATCATCACCAAAGTTTCTCATTCCTGGAAGCATTCGCATATGGACACTCTCTAATGCTACAGTGTGATGCCCAGAACTGCACACAATACTCCAGCTGAGATCTAACCAGCATCCTATATATATTGGAGAGATATGGACCAAACGCAGGCAGGTGGGACTAGTTAGGTTGGGATTATGTCAGGCATAGACTGGTTGGAGCAAAGGTTCTGTTTCCATGGTGTATGACTCTATGACTCTATAAATTCATCATAATCTCCCTGTTCTTGTACTCCATACCGGAGTTATTGAAACTGAGAATGGTGTATGCTTTATTAACAGCTCTTTCTACCTTTCCTGCCATCTTTAATGACTATAGCACACATTCAACTAGGTGTCTCTGTTCCTGCGCACTCTTTAGAATAGTGTTCTTTATTTTATGCCATCTCTCCAAGGATAAATTGCCATTCAATGCCTCATAATGCAGCTCAGAAACCTCATGATTGCTTTGCCTAATGAACCCTGTAAATCTTTGTTTAGGAGGAGCAGGAGGCCATTCAGCCCTTCAATCCTGTTCCACCATTCAATGAGTGCATGATTAATTTGCAACCTGACTCCATCACTCTTCCTGGCTCTCCACACCTTAGGGAAGGAAAACTGCAGTCTATACCCGGTCTGGTCTACATGCGACTCCAGACCCACAGCAAAGAGGTTCACTCCTAACTGCCCACTAAAGTGACTGAATGAGCCATTCAAGGGCAGTGAGGAAGAGACATTGAATGTTGGCTTGGCCAATGCCCAAATCCAATGAAAGAATAGAGAAGAAAAGACCATTAGCCATCAAAGATTGGGCAATCTCTGACATATAATTAATATTTGAGTCAGTATTTCCTTCTTTTGGAGGGAGAAGTGGGAGATAGTAGGTGGGGGTAGGGAGCAGGAGTGTTCTACCCTTTTAACAGACTGCGTGTGAAGAAATGTTTGTCTTCTGAATGGCCTCTCTCTGATTTTATGGTTGCTTCCCTTTGTCCTAGACCCTCTAACAATGGCAAAGATTTCTCTCCACCTGACCAATTCTTCTTAAAAATTCATAATCTCAATCAAATTCCTTCTTTACCTCCTGTATTCCAGAGATTTCAAGCCTAAATTATGTGACCGCTCCTTACAATTTAATCCCTGGACACTAGATAACATTTTGGTGAATCAAATCAGGAGTGTAATGAAATACTTCCCACTTTCCTGGATGGTTGTACCTCTAACAACACTCAAGAAGCTTGACACCATCCAGGACAAAGCAGCCCCTGCTTGACTGGTACCTCATCCACCACCTTCACCATTCAATCCCACCACACAGACACTCAGTAGCAGCAGTGTGTACTTTCTATTCTGTAGTAACTCACCATAGCCCCTTCAATGGCTTATTCCAAACCCACAATTTCTACTTTTTAGGAGAACAAACGCAGTAAATACATGAGAGCACATCTCTAAAGAAAGTTCCATCTCTAAACCACACTCCATCTTATTTTGGAATAATATTACTTCACTCTTGGTGGGTCAATATAGAGTCATACAGCATGGAAACAGACCCTTCAGTCCAACCAGTACACACCGAACATAATCCCAAAC